GAGTTTCATGGGATTTGTCCTAGGGAAAAATCTCACTTGGGAAGTTGGGAAAAACATCGAGATAGTCAATACTGATCACAGTGCCAACTAAGAGTCATCGTGGAGTCCCAGGAACGGCTTAAAAAGAAGGAGATTAAATTTCGTTTTGCTGTTTAACGGAAACAGGGTGTCTACAAGTCCGGAATTTCCGGAAAAAGTGCTGGTTTTTTCAGGGCGGTTCGGAAATACTGATAAAGAGCGGAATTCCGCAAGATGGTCCGGAATTTTTTCATTTCTTTCTCATTTTTGTCGCAATTCGAGCGGGAAATTCAATTTTTTTAAATTTGCCGAATTTCAATTGGAGATACTGAAAATAAAGTACTAAATTTTTCTGTTGATGAGGTACTGAATTTCTTGGGAATGCATCGAAAAAGTACTGTAAAAGCACTGATTTTTGGCTAGCCTGTTTTTGTAGACACCCTGCCGGAGAAGGAACTCAGAAGTTCCATTCCTGCTATTCGAACTTGGGAAAAACCCCGTGAAAAGTCTCGTGGAGACGAGGCCTAATAAAGAGGAACATCGAGGCAACAGGCCCTGATCACTTTTCGCGTATGTTGCGCCTTCAATTTTGCGCGGACGGCAATATGGCCATCACCCATGCTCGAATAGTTATCTCTCAAACGCCGTGCATAAATTCTCAGCTTTGCAATGAACCCTTCCTCTTTTCCTGGTCGACGTCACGTGGTTCGGATCCATCATGCAAGTCGCAATATATTCAAATTAGCCCTCTCCTCGACCCCCCTCCTCCTACCCCTGGGGTCCAGAACCCCCTCCCCGCGACCACAGTGCTCCCTGACCAGCGACTGCCCGGGCGACAGGACATTGCGATGCGCTGTTGTCACATCGATATCTTACTCCGAACAGAGTGCTAACTTGTTTGTAGGATCTATAACGTTATGTTTACGTTCTCCTTTAAAAATTCAGAGACTGCGAGTTGATTATTAAAATCAATAGACAAAGCTATAGACAAAAACGATGCAATAAATCATATGTATGATTCCTAATGGATAATTTGCATGCCAATTTTGTATTGCTTCATCAGAAAGTGATTGAAGAGCTGATTTCACAGTATTTTTTTATAGTTTTTTTCTGCACTGGAAAAAAAAACGCATTGGATCTAGAGTCCAGACTCTTAAACATCGACAAGAAAAAGTACTCTTGATTCAATGAGAATCTAGCTTAAATCAAGAACCAAGCATCTTAATTTAAGCGGATTCCGTTTTAATTCAAGCAAAAATCTGATTGAATCAAGAGTATTTTTTCTTGTCAATGTTTTCAAGAGTCTGGACTCTAGATCCAATGTGTTTTTTTTTTTCCAGTGCATGGATAAACATAGCATATCCGCCCATTAAGGGCCACCGTTGCGAACGCAACGGAAGTTAAAACGCCTCCAATTAAATGCGTATGCAACACGCACATCCATCGTGTACGAATAGTTGTATGCAGCGCCTTAGGAAAAGTCGCATCCTCACGTTACAGTGATGGCGCGATGTTGAGCGGTTGGGCCTGCATATTTATGGTTGACTGACGTTGTTTTGTCATGGGAACGGAGTTCCCCATGATATTAGAATCGTTCCGTTGCTTTTGCTNAAACTTAAATGCGTTAACTTCCGAAAACCATATATAATCCAACGAAAATAAATAATTGGTACATAACAGCTTTCTTGTATGCAAAGAAAATAATTAAAAATGTTAAAAAAGAGATGTCAACACAAAATTACATAGCCCCTTCAATTCAGAAGATACTAAAAACGAACTGTACCTTAACATTTTCATATCCCAGAAGCTAACGTTCCCATGACGAATATTGCTATCGCTAGCGATTGCAAAATCCAACTTGTCTCTACTTATTTTGGTTGGTTAAAAAGGTGAGATATTAATGATCCTCTAAATTTTATGGTTCGTCAAAATTTTTTCAGGAAAAAAATCTAGAGTATAGAGTTACGACGTTCTTGGTTTGGACTGACTTAATAATATTGTTATCTAACTTAATAACAATTTAACATAACTAAAATAACTTAATATCTTGTTTTATTTGTAATTATAATCTTCTCGAGGGGTGGATTTTTAAACTTCTCGTTGAGGAAATCATATCCCAGATAAAACATAATATTTTTACAATATTGGGCGAATATTCCGATTATAATAAAATCTGATTGAATCAAAAGTATTTTTTCTTGTCAATGTTTTCAAGAGTCTGGACTCTAGATCCAATGTGTTTTTTTCCAGTGTGACGTTTTTTACCCACCATCAGGCGTTTTTAATGTGCGTAACGCTCAAGGGGAGGGGGGTAGGAGAGCGTTACGCCTTTTTGTTTTTACATGTCACAGGATAGGGACTACATCACCAAAGCGTTCCAAGGGAAGATGGGGGATCGAAAAATCCGAAATTTAGTACTGTATATTTTATGAACGGTCTCTAAATGCCTATCGCAATTTGTGATTTTGTTGCCGAACAGGCAACGCCGTTGACTACGAAGTTTGATCACTTTCGCGGGACGTTGATAAATACGGGGCGAATCGAACACGTTGCCTAATTTATTCAAAACTCGGCGAATATTCTCCGTATTTTAGTGAATTATTGGTGGATTTGTTAGAGCAGTGGTAACTCTATCAGCAACTTGCTCTTGACCTTCATCCGTCTCTGGAGATGTTGGGTGAATTTTTTGGCGCAAACTTAAGGGAAGTGATTTGAACGCAACCACGCAAAAAAGCCTCATACAAGAGGCCTTCCGCTAGTCCACCGTGCCGAAAAAAAATAGTTTGAGGATTATTATGGAATCGGATTATCCGTTTATTTACATATTTCAACTATCCTTGCGGACGATTGAATTAAGTGGAATTTAGAGTACTTATTTAGGAAGAGTACGGACTTGTCGGAAAATGTAACTCCTAGTGCCAAAAGGGCAGCCAATCGCCTCACACAAAAAGTGCCGCTAGGAATCTTCAGATACCACTATCAAATCAATACAGAGGCGGATCCAGCAATTCAGCAACACCGGATTTCCTCCATTTAAACCTATGCTAAAAAATCGATTTCTGTCGGAGCACCTGGCCCCTCCAAGAATCGATACATTTCCATAGGTTTAAATGGAGACAAGACAGTGTTGTCAATTTGCTAGATCCGCCGATGAATCAATATGCCAAGAATGCTCATAAGATGAGCCTTATTCCGAAAGAATGTGTGAATTTATGCAATAACTAACTCAAGTACGTCTTTAGAAACAACTGGTCGTAACAATTGTAATAGAAAATCACCCTGGATAATTTGAGTTCATAAGTTGGTTGCACTTTTGGGCCTTAAAAGCTCCATGTCCTAATTTCAAAATTACCTACTTTCCCTATTCGGGCACTGTGGAATTTATTGATAAACGCTGAGTATAAAAAGGGCATTTCTTGATTGCGGTGTCTCAGGATCTCCGTTAACGTTTCACACATTACAATTAAAGCACATTTACGGAATGCGTTGAAACTTTCACTGAATTTTCGGTAAGATTTTACAATGCCTCAAACGAAAAACTTCAGATAATGGACCACTAGATAAGGTACGAACTTCAGCATTCTGATACATGTTTCTTAACCAAAATTCCACGTAAAACACGATGCTTACAACGAAATTTACCGAAATAAACTCCTTACGAAGATATTTAACGATTCTTGATGCGTGAATTCAAACCACCCGCTCATGAAAACTCAATGCGCTACGTGATTCACATCGCGCGCTAAACGTTATCATGACAGTCTCTACGATATACAAATCTGGCAACCTCAATCTTTGGCTCAGCTATAGCAAATTGCTTATAGTTTGAACAACACATGATGAGACATGAACATTGCTCGACTGAGAGGCTTGCTGTAACCGTTGTAGTGCGCGATTTGACTCACGTAGAGCTTTGAGTTTCTTGTGAGCGGGCAGTTCAAATCCTTCGTAACCAATGTGAAATAAAAACGTTAATATCTTCGTTAGGAGTTTGTTTAAGTAATTTTCGTTGTGCGAATCGTGTTCTACGTGAAATTCTGACTAGGAAACATGAATCAGAATGCTTAAATTCGTGCCTTGTCTAGTGGTCCATTCAGGGGCGGACTGGTAGTCGAAAAGTTAGGAGGCGACCTAAATGTGGGGGCCCCTCCTGTCGTTCGGGGGCCCCTCTAAGAAGGTCCGGGGGCCCTCCCCCGAAAAATTTTGAAAATTTCACACTTTTTAAACGCAATTTTAAGCATTATTGGAGTTAAATTCCACAGTTCCTGAACTTCAAAATAACCCATTCTCAGGATTCCTCGGGGGCCCCTTCATCACATAGCTCCAGGCGACCTTTCATGTCTCTTAGAGACAAATTTTCAAGGATTTTGGGGCCTTTCAGTGACAGAAAAGGATAGGAAAATTACAACATTACGGGAGAAAAAAACGAAAAAATTCGCCGCGGGGCCCATTCGGGACCTCCGCGGCAAATTGTTAGGAGGCGATCGCCTCCCCGCCCCCATGGCCAGTCCGCCCCTGGGTCCATTCTCCTAGTAGTATCCTTTTTAAAATATAAATTAGTAGTAGAGATTCTGAAATGCCGCAACCAAGAAATGCCCTTACAACATCCAATGCTTCAATCGGTAGACTCAGCAAAAATTTCAGTAGCGTCAATCGTTCTTCGAACTGAAAAATCCTGTTCTAAAATTGTATCATGTTTGCGTGTGTTCATGAAGTGCGATAAGAACGAAAAGCGGCAACGTGAAATAAAGTTAGACTGATCCTGGTCGAAGCATATCCACTCGCCCTCGCATTTCTGGAACATGGGTACACTCTTTTCTCAGGAAGCGTCACATTTCTCAAAGTCCTCGGAACAAATTTCCTATTAATAAAGCGATCCTGAAATTCGAGCATCGATAGGCTTTTCTCTTTATACGCCTATTCTCCGAAAAGTTTCTCCCCAACGACGCCATCATCTAACGCGTCTGTTTCTTTCTTTTCAGTTTATTGGACGAAACGGAGCTGACCCGTCGAGGTGTACAGTTCCTCCCCGGATATCGGGACCCCTACCACAAAAGGTGAGTCGGACACAATAGATACATACATACATAAAGTCGCTTTTATAGCGCCGCCTCGCGCTCTGCGACGCCCAATCGCCATTGCCCCCTATCCTCCCAGAGATCATCAGGCAATTGGCACCTTCTGATCTCCTCCTCCACCCCTTGTCGCCAACCTTTCACAGGACGTCCACGCCGTCGCCTTCCGGGAGGAACCCAATCGAAGACCTGCTTGGGCAACCGGTCGTGTGCCATCCTTCGCACATGTCCATACCAGACCAACTGCTTGGACCTGATATCGTGCACGATGTCCTTCTCTACACCCATGATCTCGCGTACTTTTACATTGCGATTACGCTCTCTTCTTGAGATGCCAGCAGACCTCCGCCAAAAGTCCATCTCAGTTGCCCTAAGCATGTCTTCAGTTCTTTTCTTTAGTTGCCAGACCTCACTCCCGTAAGTTACACTGAAAAAAAAGTAGTTAGCGTTGAGAACTAATTTGGTTGGTTCTCGCCAAGTAGAATCAAAATTAGGCTTCAGAACTAATTTATTGTACTGAAGCACCAATCAATTCGCTTCATACGCTGACTTGACTTTACTAGAGCGCAAACCAGAATTGGAAAACAGCACTAGCTGTAAAATTAGCGCTGTGGTAANAGTTGCCAGACCTCACTCTTTCAGTGTACGATACTCTTCACGATGACGTTGTAAATTTTCCTTTTGGTCTCCTTGGAGATACTCTGGTCCCAGAGAACCCCTTTTAGCATCGCGATAGTTTTCCTGCCTTGCACATTCCGATCTTTAATAGCCCGATCCAAATTTCCGTCCTTAGTTAACCAAACTCCTAGATATTTATACTCTTCACAGTCCTGAATTTTCCGACCATCCTCCAGTTCAATGCTTTGCTGATCACCACCGGTAACCAACTTCTCCGTCTTAACCACATTTACTTCCATTCCCCACTTTCGGTATACTTCCACTAGCTTCCGCGTCATGTAATTCGCATCTTCTTCGTCCTGAGCTATTACTACCTGATCATCAGCAAAGCACAGAGTATAAAGGGTGCCATCTTCACGTAGCGGGACGCCCATTCCTGAACAGCATCTTTTCCATTCCTTTAAAACTTCTTCCAGGTACACTTTAAATAAGGTTGGCGACAAACAACACCCTTGTTTCTGTCCTTTAGTAATTAAAAACCCCAACGATAAGTCCTAATGCGATTTAATCCTAGAAAAAGCCCCACCATAAAATTCCTTAATAGCACTAATTAGTCCCCCACTAAAACCCCTTTTGTTTAAGGCTTCCCAAAGTTTCATCAATGGCACACTGTCGTAAGCTTTCTGG